GGTTTGGAAGAACTGATCTTGCCTTTTACAATCTGTTAATACACCAATGTTGTCAAACTTTGGAACATGTCAAATATTTCCATTCTATCTGAAAATTAAACTAGTTTTTAAGATCCAGAATACCAATGCTCATTAGTAGAGAAACACACAACACTGAGAAGATTCAAACATTTATAAAATACCAAAGTTTAGCAGATTTACAACAGAGATGTGAAAATAGGTGTCTCTAAACCCATCTTTAAAGAAGCAAAGTCAGATAAGATAAGCAAGGTTGTTCATAAAGAAACCATATTTAGTTTTACCTTTCTGTCTGAAGAATGATTTTTTTAAAGTCCAGTGTAGTTTATTCTTAGGAAAAGATTAAGTGCCACCATTGTTTTATTTTAAAATACAAGATGAGACAAGCAGACAGTAACCATCAGACAGATCATGAGCTTCTACTCTCGGGGCCAAGGGCAGATGGAACATCTGTGCTTAGCTCAAAATGTCTAAGGTTTGAACAGAGCAGTGGAGATGGCAAGGAATATGTGTCAGGAGATAAATTAGGACTGTCCCGTAGTGCTGAGGTCAGCCCTCTAAACAGCTGTGCTTCTGTACTATGAGAGAGGAGGGGAAGGAATGGTTAAGCAATAAACCATAGTGTACACACACACACACACACACACACACACACACACACACACTTGACATTTCTACCAAAGATGAAGGAATCTAGAGAAAGAAGTAAGGTGACAGTAGCAGCCTACACTTAAAACTCACCTAAGCTTTTAAAAGTGATTACACCCACAGTGAGGACTGATGTTAGCACTCAGCAAGCCCCACAACATGTGTCCTGGCCATTTCTCTAAAGCACTTTACAATCCTGATCCCAGGTGATCACAAACCCACAGAATGAGGCAGATACCAATGTCCAACTTTACCAGCAGGCTTCTGGTGAACAGGACAATGTTGTAGAGCTGGTAAGAGACAGGCGTGGAGCTATCTGATTCTACCATTTGTTTCATAACTTAAGCCAAAGGAAAAGTGAATGACATTCCAAGTAGGAAACAATAGTGATTTCTGTAACAAACCATCTGATACTGTTTGAATCTTAGTACCAGTTGAAGTGGCTCATGCATACTTTTTTTCTTTCAGCTGAAAGGTATCGTATTTATTGGTGTTTTTAGACTATATATGTCTGAATTAGTCCAAGACTGTTCTTCAGAGCGTAGAGACTTCAGCCAATTTGTTATGTGTTATTATCAGCCATGTTCAGTTGCATGTCAGAACCAGAGTGGTACAGTGAATGATTGCTCAGTTACTAAATCCAACTTCTTCCCTCTTAGAATGAGATTGATTTTTGTTTTGGGTGTTGTTTTTCTTTTTTCACCTGAAAAACAATGAATAAAAATCAGCAGCACTCAGCATCTTATTTGAACACAAATGCATGTTACATGACGGCTACTTTATCTAACTCCCCAATGTATGTCACCTCATTTATGGATTTAGATATAGCTAATAGAAAATAGACTTGTGTTTTGCATCTCAATTTTTTGAATCATTGTCAAAATGAAATATAAAATAAATTATAGTTTTGTATGTTCTACATATATTTGGCTATGGAATGGGAAGAATTCAAATGTAGCAAGTTCTATTAAAAGATCAATGGGTTGAAAACTACATTTGTATTCTTCTGTGAGCTGTATGCAGCTAGATAGGATACTTTAGCCAGCAGGAGCAGAGCAGAGCTTCATCATGCCAGCATTCATTGAGAGTCTACAAAACTTCTTTCAGTTCTTTGGTTTTAAATATACAATTCATAAGGCTTTTGCTGTCTCCCCTTACCAATGAGCTGTTCATGTTGGGTAGGACTCTTCTAATGGTCATAAGCTCAACTCATGACATTCTTGGAGACCTTACCTTCTGGATAATCATTTGTAAAAGTCAGTCATTGTTATCAAACCTCTGTTGATTTCTTTAACATGAGTACAATATTCTAATTTCCTTAGTTCCCATCTTAAGAATAAAAAGCTGGATTTGAAGTATTAAACAATTACTTTGCTCTTCTACTGGGGCTGTAAGTATGACTGTTCTAAGAGTGCTGGCTTTATAAAGTAACAGTGAAGTATTAAATGTTCCAGAAGAAACAGTACCAGAACAGAGTAGATCCACTTTCTAAGCCCCATGAAGCATATGACTAAAATACAGCTTCTAGGTTTGTAATTTAAGTTTTCTGAAAACAAAGGGATCTAAAAATGGTTTTTGTCATCATATTTAAATATCCATTGCCTTTTTCTACCAAAAGATTTAAAGGCAATATATCGCTGACAATTGCAGAGCTCTTTTGTTCTGATAACTGAAGGCACATCTCAACGTTTGTCTTGGCAAGCCACATTTTCCCTGTTCTTTCAAAGAGGAAGCTTACTTGTCTGGTGGCATGGGTTCTTCCAGGCTAGAGACCTTGGGCCAGAGTTCCAGATAGGGTGGGGTAGAAGCAAGTTCTTCTCCATGCCTAGAATTGGACTTCCTCTCATCTGCAGCAGTAGAGTGGTGCGTGGGTTTGTGTTGCCTGGAGACCTGTGTTAATATGCAACTTTCAGGACAGTAGATACCTTCCAGAGTAAGACTTCATTCCTCTTCTTGCTGTGAAGTTAACACATTTCCAAGTGTCTGTTGGTTAAGGAAAACTCAGGAAATGAACAGCCAGTAGAAAGATCAATCTTCTTCACATTATCTCTTTACCATTCACTGAGCATTGACACTCATCAGTGTCTTCTCATTCACTCTTTCATTAAATTTTCACAACCACTTTAAGAGGTACTTTATAGGTAAAAGAACTAAGTAAGCCACAGAGAGATTTAGGCAAACTCATTCAGGAGGCTGGCTGAGTCAAGATTCTAGACAGTGGCATTGTCAAAGCATGATGCTTCTATATTGAACCTGATGATCTTATACATATGTACACATGTCCTTATACTAACAGTTGTCAAGAGGAATAAAATTCTAGGTTGAATTGTGATAGTGAATATGAGAAGCTAGAAGGAGTTACAGTGGGGAAGCAGTCTGGTCGATGTGGGTACAGCAATATGGGTAAGACTGAGGAAAAAGGTTTGGGCAGAAGGTGGAATTTGAGTTACTGCTTATAGAAAAGTTTTGAAATGAGTTACTAAAAAAAGAGTAACAAAGACTGAAACATTACAGAAGACTAGAACCATTTTTATAGCATCCAGCCGAATGGGTTCACTAGGAAAGGGTGAGCATAATGGTGTAACATGAGAGTTGTTTCATTTCTTTTGAAGTAAAACTTACACAGAGGGAAATACATATACTTCAACACATACACTAACTATGATGATTCTAACAGATGTAATACCATCTGATCCACACCTTAATCTAAAAAAACTTCTAGAGCTGGGCACCGGTGGCTCATGACTGTAATCCTAGCTACTCAGGAGGCTGAGATCTGAGGATCACAGTTCAAAGCCAGCCCACGCAAGAAAGTCCATGAGACTCTTATCTCCAATAAACCACCAGAAAGCCAGAAGTGGCGCTGTAGCTCTAGTGGTAGAACTGTCACCTTGAGCTCAGCGACAACACTCAGGCCCAAAATTCAAGCCCCACCACTGACCAAAAAAAAAATTCTGTCACTCCAATATCTCTCATGCTTCCTTCCAGGTGCTTGTCACCTTATAAGAAACCACTGATTAATCTGTACAGATTAATCTGTATTGTTTACTTCTGTAAGAAATTAAAGTCCTCATCAAATGTCTCACTGAAATTAACACAGTGTGAAAAATACTGACATTCAGAGATGGAAAGAACACGTGCTGTGATCTTAAGGCGATATCCTAAACTTCTCTACCTGTTGTGTTCAGCATTCAAGTAATGAAGCGATTCTTTTGGTCCCTTAGAGAGGTTCCTGGAAGAAAAATGAAGTCGAATTGCTTCCTTCTAGCCTCCAATATCCAGCTGACCGCTAAGACAAATAAGTTCTTCCTTGTAACCTTTTTGTAGAAGTGTCTTCCTTGGGCCCCCTAGCCTCCTCTTCATTCAGGCCTGTTGTATTCTAGCAGCTGCTACAATTATCTTCCTTTCAGCTTTACCCCTAGTTTTTGTTTGTTTTTTACCCACATAGTTGTTACCACTGCCTCCAGGTAAGCCTTCATTATCAGTTTCAAGTCCTACAGCGACTCCTCATTTAATATGCTTCGTAATTTACCACCTACAGTGGTCTGACAACAGGAGGGCCTGAGGGCTGTGCCCCTCAGCTGCCCCATCACCACTGTGCTCTCTCTCCTGTCCTGCTTCACCTACCCAGTAACCTCACCCTCGGAAGGCCCCTTCTGTGTCCCCGTGGCTGCAAGGGGCCTTCCACGTGCCTCTCTCTGTGACCATGTTAGGAGGAGGGAAATCAGGGACTGTCTTACTCCTCTCTGTGTCTAGAATCCGACACATGACTGCTGAAAACAACCCCCAAATTAAATCACCACAGAGGATGGTGTCTCAAGTCAGAGTCTGTTTGAAATTTGATGAGTTTTTTAAACATTTTTTTAAATGAAAGATTTCTTATGATCCTGACCAATTATTCAGATCTGATCTGGAAGTGTTCTTTCTAGTAGTTAGAGGAATTCGAGTTAAAGATGAGAGAGATGAGTATGTTAATGGGAGGTAGCAAGGTAGCAAATCCTGTGGGTAGAAGGGAGCCCATGTGCTTGAATGCTTACCTCAAAGCTGACTTTGTTCTGATACAGTTAGTTCTATGTTGTCAGAGTACTGTTTCTGGGAATTAAGATAATTTCATTCTAAAGGGCTTTGCAATAATTAGCAAGCAGAAAAAATAAAAACGAAAGATGACTACTAAACATCGCCCCCAGTGCCCAAGAACAGCAGTGGTCATAGCCTTTGTTTGTTCAGTGCGGTTCACTCTTCTGATCTGTCTGTGTTCCTGGTTCTACCTAGCATTGTAAATCAACATTTCCACCCCATTAAAGCCAAGATATTTTTATCTCTTCTAAATCTAGGTAAGAACCTTGATGCTGTCCATGATATCACTGTGGCATACCCTTACAACATTCCTCAAACAGAGAAGCACCTTCTGTGTGGGAACTTCCCCAAGGAAATTCACTTTCACGTGCATCGGTACCCAGTAGACACCCTGCCTGCATCCAAGGAGGACCTTCAGCTCTGGTGCCACAAGCGGTGGGAGGAGAAAGAAGAGAGGCTGCGCTCCTTCTACCAAGGGGAGAGGAACTTTGAATTCACCGGGCAGAGCGTGATCCCGCCTTGCAAGTCTGAGTTCAGGGTCCTGGTGGTCAAGTTGCTCTCTATACTCTATTGGACCCTGTTCAGCCCTGCCATGTGTCTGCTCATATATTATTATACTTTTGTTAGGTGGTATTTCATAGTCTTCATTGTGTTCTTTGTGCTGCAAGAGAGAATATTTGGTGGACTAGAAATGATCGAACTCGCATGTTACCGTCTTTTACGCAAGCAGCCACATTTAAATTCGAAAAAAAATGAGTAAGAGGGTTGTAAAAACCCTAGGGATATTTTAGAAGTAGTTCTAGGCCTTTGTAAATAGATACATTTTTGCATGACTATATCAGATGTTTCTTACTATCATTATTTGTTGAAGATATTTTGCACTTAATTTTGTGAAGAAAATATTGCTACTTTTTTTTTTTAATCTCTGAATGTAATTTTGATGCTGCGTATATAGCAGGGATCGATTGGGCCAGAATAATCACCATGTTGTTAACAGACAAGGCACACACAGTTTTCTGAAAGATCTAGCCCTATTTTCTGACAGACTCCCAGAGCCGGAGTCTGAACTCATGAGCACTGGCCTACCACGCACTTATACTTGACTGCCCAATTCACCCCCCCCCAGGTGAGCACCTGCCCACAGGTGCCCAGGCAGGTGATGCCCAGACTCCTTCTTTGGGCATTGCCCTCATCCTTAAACCCACTCTATCTTCTTTCATGTCAGAAACTGGAACTTAACTAATCACCTAAAGTGATGTCCAGTTTGCTAGGAAGTGCTTTGTTCCTCCCAGTGTGTTGTACTGACCACGCTGTCAGAAGACCACCTGTGCCCTTTCCCATTTGGAGATCACCTGCACACGTCTCAGGGAGCAACCACAGGCTCTCCACTTGGAAACTCTCATTTGAATTTTAAAAAGTAGTAATTCAGATTAAGGTCTCCATTCCAGTCAGTCCTGCATGCACTGAGCTGGCTTCATTACAACTTGTTGCCAGGTGTTAACGTTTTCTCTATTAAAAATGGTACACATGCAGTCACATACTTTTTAAAAGGCACACTTTGAGGAACATTCTGTTTCTGCAAACAGAAACTGACTTGCGAAACATTTCTTTAAAACTTACCAAAAAAGGAAGGTTTATTGTATTTTCTACATGTGCATGGGCTTGCAGCTTCTACCATTAAAACAAATGACTACAAACAGGGCAGCAATGGTTTTATCCTGAATTAGTCAACCCTGTACCCTTGATAAACTTTAGATTTAAAATACAAAATGAACCCTTTTCAATGATAGCACAGAATCTCCTTTTAGAACTCTCTCAATAGTAATATTTAAGTCCACTCTGACCACCATGATCCTTCTGGGGCTAAAGAAAGGGTTGTTATTGTTTCTACTCCATTGAAGCTTTAAAAGGCAATTAAAAGTCAATAGCTGTTGGCAGATCTGTCCGTTTTCTTTACTCCTGTGTTGATCCAGCCTCTAAGGTCACTTCCTGCTTTATGTACTCTTTGGGCATGAATGCCTTCTCTTCTGTGACATCTCATTTTTGTTTGGCAATGATTTTTACTCAACAGTTGAATCATATACATGGTCATGAAAGGTAAGTGCACAGGAGCTGGACCTAGCAGATTGCCTGAGAAAGCACTAGTCAGAATGCTGTTTTTATTGAGAGTTTTAAGTAGTTACTATAGTGAAGTATACCAACTCCTGTTTTACTACTGCTCCTTCAAAGCTAATTTTAATCCTGCTGAGCATACGTACTCAGTATAACTATTAAGTATACACATCCCCAACTGAGCTGTTTAACTTTGTGGACTTAAGATAAAAGAAGCAACTATTTTTTCTTCCCCTAGTGAAACAGTTGTCTATGTTTCTTTTAGATTGCCTTGGATTGTATATAAACCTGGAAATCATTTAACCATATGATTTTGCTTGTCTCAGGTAAAAGAGAAAAGGCACATCTTACCATGCAAGTCGGCAGCTCCCCTCTCTGCAGGCTCCACACGCTCATAGGCATTGTATCCCATTGGCTTGTATCCTCAGACTCAGCAGCCTTTAAATGGAAAATCTTTTTTCTCTTAAAACATGGTTAAGATAACAAATTTTACCTACCAAAAATTCATAATTATAAAGCTCTGAAACCAAGGACTATAAGCACTCTACTTGCTTCATTGATTAGAGATACTTCAAACAACAAAAAAGTCTCCTCTTTTAATTGCTTTTCAATATGGCTTTTTAAATTGTATATTTTATTGATTATTAATTGTTCATACTGCCTCTACATTTAGCTGTGTTAAACTGTTTCTTCTTTGAAAAAAAAAAAACTCAAAGAACTATAGCTAATGATTTGGAGCCTAGGACTATCTTCAATGAGTACAAATGTCTAGAATAAATTCAAGAAAGTCAGTAACTGTGACAGGCCTCAAAAACACCCCCTGCCACACTTCCCGCCATTGCCATGGGCTCCGCAGCTGTGTGTCTGGCTACCACAGGTCTGGCCACGTGACCGCTCAGCCCTCTGACAGTGAACTTGCTAGACTTTGAAATGTTTGCAGTGCCACTTGTCTAGCTGCCAAATTCACCATTCTGAAAGGTTTTAAATATACCAAGTATGTTTTATTTCTAACATGAACCGATTATTTAAAGTATGAACCCAGAAGGAGGGACACTGGAAAGGTGACAAGTTCTTCCCCCAGATATCTTGGATGAAACAAGCCAAAGGAACTCTCAGACTTAGCCAAGAGCTTGGTAGATGATTAAAAACTCACTAGATAAATATTTAAAAGAGCCCATCATTTAAGACTGCCAATAAAATTCTTCCTTAATATGCTCTCAAATTCAGATTCAAGAGGAATAACAGCTTCCACTTAAAAATCATTTTGAGATTAGTTACTTGAGCAGCCCTGTGTCAAGAACCATATCTTTATAGCCAAGACTGAACTCTGCAGACAAGCAGACATTTCCATGTCACCCAGACTTCACGCTCTGGCCCAACAACAATAATAACCCCGTGTCCTCTTACAATAAAGAGTAATGGAGAAAGCCTGTTGGTGTTAAATTGTTTACATCTCTTTATAAAATGATGTGTTTTCAGTGCCTTAGTTATGGGTCCTTTTCTTTTTCTTGTTCCAAGAGTTCTGTAAGTATGGTTCTTAGGTTAAGTTTCGCCTTCCTACTTACTGGGAGGAAAATGGTCTGTGAATACCACTTGCTGGTTGTATCCCAGTGTGAGAGAACTCGATGCTAAGGTAGCAGTTGCCTTAGAGTTGTTTATACTGTTGATGGGAATGATTTTGCTACACTATGAGCTTCAGATTAGATCTGACCCTAAAGTTATATTTACCTTAAATTCTTATTTCACAACGGAGTCTTGTTTTTTATATTACATTTTTAAAGAGATTATGATGTGGAGAACACCAGGTTTTAAATAGAACTCACAGAATGGCCTTAGTTTTCAATATTCACTGGTATGTTTTAAGTTGTGTTATCTGTAATATACACCCAGAATAAAATTGAGTGAACTAAATGGAGGTGACAATGTGTGTTACATTTCTGTTTTTACAAGGATGACAGAATCTTGTGCTACTTGGTTCTCACTTGCCCTATGTGTTATTAAGGGAAAACTGGCAGCTTAGGGCTCCAGGAACATAGTGGCAGTAAGGGCCCAATGTCCTCAGAACAGTCATTCCATAGTGGTGAAAGCCAGCTCTTAGAAGCATGTCTTCACTCTTACCTCACTGTTTGGAAGTATAACTCCAAAAGTTAAGTCTTGGACCAAAACCTGACAAGTGCATAAAAATGTCCTTGGCAAAAGACAAAAGAACATCACAGAACCTATTCTTGTGTGACCTAATGTTCACTTGTGTCTTCAGTTCTATAGTGAGCGCTTTATGTAAAAGCTTTGCTGTTAGGGGAGCTTGTAATGTCCCAAACACTAGGTGAGGTCTTGTAAGACAACTGAACTCCATTCAAGTAGAGAGAGAGGGGAGAATAGCATCTGTAGCCACCCACTCATCTTTGCATTGTTTTCATTGGTGAATCATATCAAGACCTTGAGCATTTGAAGGTACCTCAGATGCCAGCCATGGGCATAGCATATAATCTGCACATGTACAGAGCACCCTTTGTTACCAAGTATTTTATTAAAGTTATTGCCTGTATGGACTTGATTCTCAAGAGCTACATGAGGACAAGGTGTATATCATCTGGGTTCAAATCTCAGTGTTGTTTGTTTGTTTGTTTCCTGAACTAATAGATTGCCCAGCAATATACTGTGAATCACATCCCTGAGTTACTATACCCTGTGAAGCCAGGACTAGAGCTTGTTCCACTGAACCAACAAGGACTTAGAGTGGGAGAAGGAAGAGGCATTTTAAGACAAAAATCAGGTACTGTTATTGAGAATAGCATGAATCAGTGCTGGATGGCCAAATGACCACAAAAGTCTTACGGGTTACTAAGCTTGTCAAGCATTCCAGGGGAGCTGGTGAGTGGAATTACATTAAGTGGGAAATAAAGAGAGAGGGAGAGAGATCAGTCTGTAGTTAGGCTATCTTTAGGAAGGTGAAACCATTCAGATATAGATAGGTATGGGGTCACACACCTGCCATCTCCCTGAGTAATTCTAATTAGCATTTAGTGTGCCTGGTTCTTCCAGGACTGACCACAGACTTGAGAGCTTCCAATCTCTAGGCCTCTGGTCCCCATGTGTAAGATGAGCATTCTATCTTAGGTGTTCTGGAAGCCTTGGCTGATATCTGAGTTGATTTCATTCAGTAAATATTAACTTTTTACTACGTGTCAGATTAGAACTGGGAAGGAAGCAAACAACAAGCTTTATTCTTGGCCCTCCATACATGTGTGTTTACATGAACTTACAAAACGTTTATGAAGTACCACCTTCCAGAGTATGGAGTCAACTAGACAGAAAAGAAGAGAAGGTAAATCAGAGAAGGCATCCTGTTCCAAGGTGCAGGCCTTGGCTCTAGTATGGAAATTTGGATACAAGCTGGACTAGAGGCTCCCCAAACATAACCAGAGGGCAGAAGACATCCACTCTGTGACCCTCTGTCCACTGCCCCAGGCCTAAATAAGTGTCAAGGACAGAGAAGTCACTGTGAAATGATGAGTGAGCACAACCCACTCAGCACAGCCATTTATATCCCTCTTTAATGACAGACTACATTGCATGACTGGTGAAATAATCCATCTTCCCTCCAACTTCTCATTCTAGAAGATTGAAATTTCAATTGAGAAATGATCTTTGGTGACCAGCACCAGCCAGGGAATGGAGTAGCAGACTCATTTTCCCTGGTTGGCCCCTGTGGGTGCAGGGAGTGGCCCAGGGCCAAGAATGGTCTATTAGCATGTAGGTGCACAGGGGAAAATGTGATGTTGGGCCTGCAGCCAGATGACAGCAGGCACTGGGCTTTGAGGAAGCATGAGATCATTCTGAACAGGAGAGGAGCAGAAGAGCCAAGGCCTCCCGCCTACCTCTTCCTCTGGAGATGATGTCATTGGTGCTGAGACTGCCCATAAGTGGAAGGTGGTTGCTCTGAGGACCAGCCTCTAGCCTACTTTGAAAGCCACCAGGATGAGAAGTGAGCTCTGGGGAAGCTGACCAAAGACCAAAGCTTGGCTCTGTGGGCATGCACCTGGGCAGCCACAGAGGTCTGCCCTTAGAAGAGCCCCACACTATGGTTTAATGCACAACTTGCCACTATGAACAAGAACTCTCAAACCTTCCTTGTGGATGTATAAGTCAGTGCTTCTGATGGCTGTAGGAGACCTGAGAAAATCTGGTTTGGAATTACGATTGTTGTTCCACGTGGATCACTCGGAAAGATTTCAACATAAAAGTGGCCAGCACCCAGTCCCATGCCACCCTCAGAATGAAGCAGGCAGGCTTTGAGTTGTTAGGGTGATTCCCCAGCATGCCATGCTGGAGAGTGCTGATCCCAAGGAATGGTTCTAAGCTCATGGCCTATGAGAAGTCATGCAGCGCTGAGTCAGAGCCTAGCCAGCTGCTCTGAAGGGTTCTGTTCTACCTCTCAGACTGGATCTCTTTGTTCTCTGCCTTGACACACAGCTGGTATACAAGAAATGTTTTCCCTTCCAACCCGTTTGAGGTCCACAGTTTTATCACTGGCTCCTTAAACCCTGGAGGCTGGGACACCTGATTTGATTCATCAGCACAAACCATTGCGCTTCTCTGCAGACAAGTAAAAGATACCAAAGAAAGGCTTAGTCTCCTGGCCAAAACTTAGCTGCTGTCCCTGGGCTCCAAGGACAACTTGACAATTACATTTGCATTACCTCCGCTTAACTTCCTTATCAGCAGCTTTAAAATGTACTATAGTTTTCAGAAACTTATCAAAGAATCGAGTTTGTTTTTGGAATACCTATTATTTTCACAGTGCATGACGTGTTCCACTTTCACCGATACGTATTATTCCAGGAAGCCCTTCAATGTTTATTTTTGTGGAAGTCCTCAGAGATTGGGAGCCTGCTTTCCTGGCACTGAGCAGAACATACTTGATGAAGCCCAGGTAAAAACAGTTCTAATGAGTGGGCTCTGTGATCGGGTAGGGGTGGCAGAGGTCAGGCTCTGTTGTGGAGTAGGAGATCACAAAGGGTTTCCTAATATTACTATTTCAGCACCACCCATAGGATTTGAAGGTGATGGGAAGTAGTTCTTTATATTTTTATTATACCTTTCTTCATCAAAACATTCTAGCAAAGAAAAACCTAGAATATTCTAGAGGAAAATATGATTCTGAGTCCTCTTTGTACTCTTAAAAACTTGCTCAGGACCCTAAAAAGTTATGTGTGGGTTATATCTATCAATATTCATAGTGTTAAATATTTTCAATATATGTTTACTAGTATGTAGGGCTATATTAATTATTAATAAATATACTTGTAATAATATACATTTAAAAGTAAGAAGCATTTTACATGTCCATGTATATAATCTATTTTTATGGAAAAAGCTGTATTTTCCCAAACAAAAAGCTTAGTGAGAAGCAGCACAGTTTTACATTTTTGTTCATTTCTTTTGTGACTGTGTTACTAGAAGATGCTAAAATATCTGTTGACATTTGAAAGTCAAGTTGCTTCTGGAAAATTCCACTAGAGGCTGGCAAGAGAATGAATCTGAGATCCCATCTTGATCAAGGGACATCTGGCTCCCTGCAAAGGTGTTGGGGGTCAACAGGAGTCCCCAAGTGTATGAACCACTATCTGGACATCATTTTCTCTGACATATGCTTTAGCAGCCAGGGTAATGAAAGAAAGAGGCTCAGCAGAGCCGGGTGTGGGGATAAAGTAGGGAGAGAATCAAGGAGTGAAGAGGAGGTGGTCCTGGAAAGTTCCCCTAATTCAGCTGCTGTAACTGAGCAAGTACCTTCCCCTTTGCTGAGCCTTAGAGTCCTCTGTAAATCAACAATGACACTGAACCACATCTCTGGACCTCAACCCAAGCTATCCTGGGGAGCTGAAGACAGGCCCCCTCTCTAGAGCATTTGTACCAGAATATCTGAGTGTGGAGCTAGGATCTGTAAAAGCTTCTAAGGTGACAGGTTAAAAGGAAAGGACACAAAAACTAACCTAAAGCCACACCCAGAACAACTAGGATAGCCAAGTAAGTATGGAGACTTGGAAAAAATTATATTAAGTGAAGTAAGCGAGACCCAAAGAAACATAGGTCCCATGGTCTCCCTTATTTGTAATAACTAGTATACGTCTAGGATAATCTTACCAGACAAGCAGAAGAGGTCCAAAGCGATGTATATATGACCATATAAGATGATGCTAAGCAAAATGAACCCCAAAATAGGACACAAGAGCTTTTATCTTTGTCGCTGTTGTTTTTAATGTACTATGTGATTTTTTTGTTTCTTTTGTATCTTCTTCTCTGTGGTATACCCCTGTTTTCACTGTATTTGATTCAGGTGCCATGCATCTTGTATATACATTTTTCTAATTTGGGGAGGGGAAGGGAAATAACAAAATGCTGAAACAAAGATACAGGTTGACCCATTGTAACAATGAGATGTACAAGATACTATGTTGAAAACAAACTTTACAACTTGGGGGGTGGGTGTGAGGAGTTGGGGAGGTGAGAGGAAAGGAATGGTAGGGGGAAAACAAAGGAGGGGGTCACAATGCTCATTAGGAAATGCACTGATTACTCATATAACTAGTTGTAACCCCTCTGTATAGCATCTTTACAATAAAAATAATTTTTTAAAAGGAGGGGATTATAACCCACAGATAAACAGGCACCAGGTTTGACTAAAGTATATAAATAATTAAATGTGTAAATAAATGGAGGAGAAAGAACCACTCTTCCCTTGTGAATTACTAAATTTCTTGCTGAATTTATTAATTTCTTCCTATTAATAAATAGAGAAGACATGAGGGAGATAGTTAGTCACTGTGTGGCAAACATCACAGTAATAACTGTTGCAGGCAAGAACAGTGAATTTAATGAGCACTCAGAGATGCATAGTTTCTCAACACTCT